CTGGGATTGGCACTAAAGGTTTGGGAATGCGTCCCAAAGGTTTGGGATGTGTCCCAAGGATTTTCCTCCTGAAATGTGGATTTTCCCCAATCCCTGCAGGTTTGAGCCGATCAGTGAGCAGCTGGAGCAGCTGGAGCGCATGGCCGAGGAGTCGCTGACCTTCCTGTATGGCCCCACAGCCTCAGCCAGGCTGTCCCACCGGAGGGACAGGGACAGGGATAGGGACAGGGACAAGGACAAGGACAGAGACAAGGAGAAGGACAAGGACAGGGACAAGGACAGGGACAGGGACAAAGGCAGGGACAGGGACAAGGCCATCCCTGTTCAGCCCCGGGCCAACCTCAGCACCAACTTCAGGCTCAGCCAGAACTTCTCCCTGGTGCGGATGTGGGAGCCCGGGGAAGGCAGGAAACATTCCAGAGTGGGATTCCAGCTGGTGAGCACAGCCGGGGAGCGACGGGCATGGGAAGGGCAGCGGGGGGACCTCAGGGTGGGGGTGCACCCCAAAGAAACAGCGGGTTCACCCCAAAATACAGAAACTGGGGATTGGGATTTATCCCAAAGAAACTGGGGGTTCAACCTAAAATACATGGGAATTGGGATTGGGATTCATCCCAAACTAACTGGGGGTTCACCCCAAAGAAACTGGAAATTGGGATTTATCACAAAGAAACTGGGAGTTCACCCCAATATACATGGAGGTTCACCCCAAAGAAACTGGGGATTGGGATTTATCCTAGAGAAACTGGGGATTCACTCCAAAATAGATGGGGATTGGGATGGAGTTCATGCCAAAATGCCTGGTTGGGATTTGTGCAAAAATAATCTATAACTATAGGAAATAATAATAGTTCCCATATAGTAAAATAATTTTTATATATATGTATATATATATATATACATATATATTAAAAAAAATATATAATATGTTATGTTATGTTATAATGTTATATTTTCCCACATAATATTATAATTTATATATAAAATATTATATATATTATATTAAAATAATATATCATTCATATACTATTACATCTATATGTATATTTTGAGATGTTTATATATATTGTTATATATTTATAAATAGATATATTTTTTAATATATGCTATAGATTAAAATAATGTATTATAATGTATTTCATATATATTGAAATAATAGAACATGATATAACATAACATAATATATAATGTAATGTAATGCATAATTAATATAATATAATATAATATAATGTAATGTAATGTAATGTAACGTAATATAATATAATGTAATGTAATGTAATGTAATATAATATAATATGTAGCATAACGTAACATAATTAACATAACACAGCCTAAGAACCCAATCCTTCCCCTCCACCCCACAACTCCCCCCAGCTCACGTCCCCTTTTCCCCGCCGCCCTTCCCCAGTGCAACTCCACGGGTGGGGATTGCTTCTACAGCTCGCACGTGTCGGGCACGGCCGCGCTGCAGGAGTGGTTCCGCTTCCACTTCATCAACCTGCTGGCCCAGCTGCCCCCGGCGCTGGCCCGGCACCCGCAGCGCTTCCAGGACCTGGTCTACTCCTGCCAGTACGACGGCGAGCCCTGCCGGCCCAGGTGGGCACGCGGGAGGTGTGCCGAGGGGAGTCGGGGAGGGTACGGGAAAGGGGCTGTGGAAAGGGAGTCCAAAAAAGGGGTTGTGGAAAGGGTGTCCAGAAAAGGGGTTCTGGAAAGGGAGTCCAAAAAGGGGGTTGTGGAAAGGGAGT